AAGCACCTCAGAGGATCGGCTAGGTCAAAGCAAAGACAATTATCAGTCAGAGGAGTGAGGGATTGGAGAAAAAGGCTTTTATTATGTACATGCGAATGACTTGATCGGTCCATTGAATACATTCAGTCAAGTTTTGATAACGTGGGGCAGCGCGAGTCTACCACTCTGGTTAATGCACACAGGATTGATGTCTTACTTCTCGACCCCGCTCTGTTTCAACATTTTCTGCTCAGATAGGATGCGTCACGTCATTGGGAATTAATGAAGCTCCTGTTTAATTGGACTCATGATGATTGGCATCTTTTCGTATGCAAAAACGTGATGGAAAAAGCTCTTAATGAAATCCTCTTTAATTAACTTCAGCTTGATGCGAAGAGACAAGTGAATAATTAAACAAACAGTGAATCCACATAAAAGAAACGGATAACTTAATTCGGCACTAATGGAACAGGTTAAACATCATCTCTGAATACAGAGTGTTCCGGTGCATCTGTCAAAAGCTTCTCACAGTAGCAACAGACTCTATCACCTCCAGATTCTTTATGCCTTTATAATGAACAGAGAGAGAGACGCAGGGCCAGATGGAGGGGAGAAAAGATTAGGATTTTATAATTCGCCTGCCTCTGGCCCCCACGCTGCTCATCTGCAAACGTTTGATAAGCGTGGCGAAGATTTCAGTAGAGAAGAAGAGAGATGGGGAACGGGAGAGAGGAAAAGAAGGAAAGAAAATCGCATTTCCTCGACAATTATTTCCAAGCGAGTCCCCTATCTCTGCTTTCATGGTAAAAATACAAAAACAATGGTATACATTTGCAACAGGGGCCAGAGTAGACTTCTGTCTATCTCTTCTAAAACAAAGCTACATTTAGAAGATAAGAGAAAGTGCTTCCTAATGGAAATCCTATCATGTGCTCCACTACAGATAAAAGAGCTCCATATGTGAATGATTTCCAAAGCTATAGAAAGGCATTCTGCTGGGTAAATAGGGGTCTAATGGAGGCATCTAAAGATAATGAAACAGCCAACCTGCAGGTGTAAAGTTATCGGACACACTGAGGCAGAACTGGATGATATTTCTGATGTCTTCAGGATTAAACTTGCTGAAGTTTTAGATGCTCTAGAGCAGGGGTGTTCCTGGAGGGCCACAGCCCTGCACAGTTTAGATTCAACCCTAATTAAACACACCTGATCCAGCTAATCAAGTAATTTAGGCTTATTTGAAAACTACATGATATGTGTGTTGGGGCAGGGTTGGAACTAAACTCTGCAGGGGTGCTGCCCTCCAGGAGCGGAGTTTGACACCCCTGCTCTTGAGTCTTCTGTGGGTTCGTAAGGCTGTAGGGCTCACTTTGGTTCGCAATAATGTACAAGATTGTTTTGGGTTGTGTATGTATATGCATGAGAGGTTTTGTGGAAGTCTTTGAAAAGTTTGAGGGAGCTATGAACTCGAGAATTCTACTCTGTTAGTTTATACTATAAATCTTAAGATGTGCATTCTTTGAAATCATCTTTCTTTAATATTTATGCTGTTTTCTCTCAGAACAATCCAGCAAACCCCTCATTTGTTCAGCTATTGCTGAGGTGATTTAATGCAGTATTTTGAATGTGAAAATGTATGTGAGGGATTTGTGCGAAATTGCTATGTATATCTGGTCATTGTTCTGATCTTAAATTAAACAACAATATACGAATAGTCTGCTTAAGCAAAAGACACACAAACAATGAATCCTTTTTATTTCCTCTCATTTTTATATATCATAGACATGTCAACAGGGATGCTTGCATTTTCCAAAGTCTATGTTCCAATGCCATAAAAGTCTTTAACTGACACGCTTGGTTTCTTGAACTGTCCTTTTGCACTCTTCTTTGTAGGACACCCACTCTTATGGAGAGTAGCAATATTGCTGAAACTTTACCATTTGAAGATAGTTTCTCTTACTGTGGACTGACGAACTTTACAGCTTTTAGAGATATATTTTATAACCCTTTCCAACTTTACTCTCATTTTTATATATCATAGACATGTCAACAGGGATGCTTGCATTTTCCAAAGTCTATGTTCCAATGCCATAAAAGTCTTTAACTGACACTCTTGGTTTCTTGAACTGTCCTTTTGCACTCTTCTTTGTAGGACACCCACTCTTATGGAGAGTAGCAATATTGCTGAAACTTTACCATTTGAAGATAGTTTCTCTTACTGTGTGGACTGACGAACTTTACAGCTTTTAGAGATATATTTTATAACCCTTTCCAACTTTATGCTTGATCTTAGGCATTCTGAGATCTAATTTGCCTAGGGACATGGTTCATACCTGGCAATGCTTCCTGTGAATAGCATCCTTTGCGAGAGTGTTTTCTTTATACAAGCTGAGCTCTATCTCATTGTTTGGACTCCAGGTTAACTGACTTCTGACTCCAATTAGCTCTTAGAGAAGTCATTAGCCTAGAGATTCACCCTTTTTCCACATTGCACTGTGAAAGTTTTTACACTGAGTGTTCAGTAAAGGCATTCAAATGAATCATTATTTGAGTAGACTGTTTGTTTGCTCGTTGTTGTGTATAGATCACATCAATTGACTAATCTATGCAGAAGTCCATGGTAAATCCAAAGCTTCACATATGTTTGTCACTGTTAAATCTCTGGCAATATATGTACATGCAGTGTGTGAGAGGGTACACAGGTCAGAAGGTGTAGCTTCTTTGCATGGTATATTTATGTTTTATTAATTAGCGAATATTTAAATTGTGTAAAAGTCATAAAGGTTAGTATTAATTTAAAACTTTGGAGCACATTTCTTGAGCCTTCACTGAGAAATCTAATCCTGTCCTTGGTTGAATATCTCTGACCCCCCCCCCCCCCCCCCCCCCCCCCCCCCCCCCCCCCCCCTCTTCACCC